CCTGGCTGGGACGAGGGCTGTTGGGAACAAACTATATAAGGACTGAAGTGCATAATAAAGAAGAAGAAGCCTGAACTTCACGTTGGTGTCTGTGTCGTCTTTCCTCGGCTCTGCTGGACGGAGTTGTGGCTTGCGGCAGTTTAATAAATTAGATCTTTTTTTCTTTTTACTATCCAGTTGTTAAAAATTATTTATAATATTTGGTGAGAAGTCCCTAATCAGTTTTACAAAATTTTATCTCATTCTTTGAAGCACAAAGTCTTCTTATTCAGTAATTGTTAACATCGCTCTGTATTCATTGTATGCGGTACTGCGTTTCATGAAGACATTTCATGCAAGGATATGAGTGTGCTTTGTGCTCCTCCCCTGAGTCTTGTCCCCATCCTGCTTCCATCCTGCTCCTTCTCCTTCTTGGATGTTCCCTTTGTTCCCCTTAACAGTTTGTCTTGTACCTTCATATCATATGTGCATGTATGATTTTATGGATTTCCATAAAATCTGTAAGCCACAAATGAAAGAAAACATCATGTTGTCTTGTGGACAATGAGTTCATTAGATATATCATCACTGAAACACGAGAGCTTTTAAATTTGACAAATTCAGTTTGTCTTCTGTTGCTGTTGGTTGTGTTTTGGTGTCATAGCTGACAGACTATCATGACAACTTAACATTATGAGTGAGGTTCTACAGTTTAGCTTCTCCATCCATCTTCAGCTAACTTTTGTGTGTGTATGCGTGTGTGTGTGTGTGTGTGTGTGTGTTTGTGTGCCCTTGAAGAGGACCAGGGTTCAGTTCCCAGCATCCACATGACAACTAACGACCACTGGAAACTCCAGTTCCAGGGGATCCTACACCCCCTTCTGGAATTTGCAGGCATTGCATGACATGGGTGCACTTATACACATGCAAGCAATAAGATAAGGAAAATATAAGATATATAAAATAGAAAAAGACTTGAAATATCACCTTAATGCTCAGGATAAACCCCCTTTGATCATGACATATTGCCATCATTAGATGTTGCTGGATATAGTTTGCTAGTATTTTACTCCAGATGCTTGTGTTTTTGTTTGTATATTGATCATTAGTTTTATGCTCTTTGATGTTTTCCCCTGGTTTTGGCATCAGGATAATATCACCTTCAATGAGTGAGTTGGAAAGTGTCTGCGTTTTGTCTAATTTCAGGAAGTTTTTGAAGTTTGAGTATTTAATTCTTCAGATACTTAATAGAATTCCCCCCAAGAGGCCACCTGAACCTGAACTGTTATGATATAGGATTTGGATTAAATGATATTCTTTAATTTTCCATTCTCATTTATTTCTACTGTGATATTTATTATTTTTGCTTGCTTTCAA